TGTCCTTCATGCCCATGCAGTCTATTTTACTCAGTCACCAAAAAACACACACATGAACGTATGTATGTATGCACGCACGCACATACACATCTCTTTCTGTGACGCACACACACCTCAAATAGGCCTAGGCCATTATCCATCTATGATAAGAAAACATTAGAGGAAGTCTAACCTCCACTCTCATTGGTGATCACCCCTTGGACCCAGAGTATCGTAGTGTGTGTGTGTGTGTGTGTGTGTGTGTATACATGCATGTGTGTGGTGTGTACGTCTTTTTAACCTGACCTTAAGCCTTTATTACAGATTTCCTCTTTTCCTTTTAGGAAGTAGGGCTTTTTAGTAACAATTTGTATTTGAACTCGCAAAAGTAACACACTGTTTCTGTGGATTTTACACATTTGTTACATTACAGGGGGAAAACATTTTGTTTTTCTGGGATTCCTTAGTATAAAAGGTCTACAGGAAGTGTTACAGTTCACGATGACAGATTTCAACAGAGAAAGTTCATGGATTTTAGAAGTTCATTTAGTTAGTTAAATCTTGCAACTGTTAAAATGTTGCTGCAAATCTTGTCTGAGGCTTTGCAGAGCCTTCATTCACCATGACCACCCCCTACCAATTCTGCATGTTGGATAAATGTAGAAGATTAATGTAGTCAATTTGATCTTACATGTACAGAATTTACTTACTGTATGACCTACATTTTACTTGCATTTTATGACTTGCACTTTTTTTATTGCACTATTTTGAATCCCTTAACTATTGTGTGTTGGGCTGTTGGCGGGGCCTGGGATTTAAACTGATTTCCTCCGGTTGGGTGCTTCTTTGTTGGAGTTTATCCCAGTGGACGAGAGGGTCGCCTCCCTACGCCTGCGGGTTATGGGGGGGTGGGAAAACTCTGACTGTTGTGTGTGCTTATGCCCCAAACAGCAGTTCAGAGTATTCGGCCTTCTTGGAAACCCTGGAAAGAGTCCTGTATGGGGCTCCTGAAGGGGACTCTTTAATCTTGCTGGGAGACTTCAACGCACATGTGGGCAATGATGGAGACACTTGGAGGGGCGTGATTGGGAGGAACGGCCCCCCAGATCTGAACCGGAGTGGTGGTTTGAACTGGACTTCTGTGCTAGTCATGGATTGGCCATAAGAAACACCATGTTCGAACATAAGGATGCTCATAAGTTTACGTGGTACCAGAGCACTCGAGGCAGAAGGTCCATGATCGATTTCGTTATCGTATCATCGGACCTGAGGCCGTTTGTTTTGGACACTCGGGTAAAGAGAGGGGCGGAGTTGTCAACTGATCACCATCTGGTGGTGAGTTGGGTCGAGTGGCGGGGGAAGCCTCTGGATAGACCTGGTAAGCCCAAACGTGTAGTTCGGGTGAACTGGGAACGTCTGGAGGAGGCCCAAGTTCAGGAGGCCTTCAACTCACACCTCCGGCGGAGCTTTTTGGGCATTCCTGTGGAGGTTGGGGACATTGAACCAGAGTGGTCGGTGTTCAAAGCCTCTATTGCCGAAGCCGCGGCAGGGAGCTGTGGTCTCAAGGTCTTAGGTGCCTCAAGGGGCGGTAACCCTCGAACCTCCTGTTGGACACCGGTGGTCAGGGAAGCCGTCCGACTGACGAAGGAGGCCTTCAGGGATTTGTTATCCCGGGGGACTCCCGAGGCAGTTGCAAGGTACCGACAGGCCCGAAGGGCAGCAGACTCAGCCGTGGCCGAGGCAAAGCAGCGGGTGTGGGAGAAGTTTGGAGAAAAGGACTTTCGGGTCTCACCAAAGAATGTTCTGGAAAACTGTCCGACACTTCAGGAAGGGGAAGCAGGGAACCATCCAAGCTGTGTACAGTAAGGATCGGACGCTGTTGACCTCAACTGATGGAGTGTTAGCGCGTTGGAAGGAACATTTTGAGGAACTCCTGAACCCGACAACTCCGCCATCTATGTTAGAGGCAGAGCTGGAGTATGACGGGGGATCAACACCAAGCTCCCGGGGGGAGGTCACTGAGGTAGTCAAACAACTCCACAGTGGCAAAGCCACAGGGGTGGAAGAGATCCGCCAAGAAATGCTGAAGGCTCTGGGTGTTGAGGGACTGTCATGGTTGACTCGTCTCGTCAACGTTGCGTGGAAGTCGGAAACAGTACCGAAGGAGTGGCAGACCGGGGTGGTGGTTCCCCTTTTCAAAAAGGGGGATCAGAGGGTGTGTGCCAATTACAGAGGCATCACACGACAGCCTCCCCGGGAAAGTTTACTCTAAGGTACTCGAAAGGAGGGTCAGGCCGATTGTCGAACCTCAGATTGAGGAGGAACAATGCGGATTCCGTCCTGGTCGTGGAACGACGGATCAGCTTTTTACTCTCGCAAGGATCCTGGAGGGGGCCTGGGAGTACGCTTATCCGGTCTACATGTGTTTTGTAGACTTGGAGAAGGCGTATGACCGAGTTCCCAGGGAGTTACTGTGGGAGGTGCTGCAGGAGTATGGGGTGAGGGGGTCTTTACTCAGGGCCATCCAATCTCTGTACTCCCAAAGCGAGAGCTGTGTCCGGGTCCTCTGCAGTAAGTCGGACCCATTTTCGGTGAGGGTTGGCCTCCGCCAGGGCTGCGCTTTGTCACCAATCCTGTTTGTAATATTCATGGTTAGGATTTTGAGGCGTAGTCGTGGGGGAGGGGGTCTGCAGTTTGGTGGACTAAGGATTGCACCACTGCTTTTTGCAGATGATGTGGTTCTAATGGCTTCATCGGTCTGCGACCTTCAGCACTCACTGGATCGGTTCGCAACCGAGTGTGAAGCGGCTGGGATGAGGATCAGCACCTCCAAATCTGAGGCCATAGTTCTCAGCAGGAAACCGATGGACTGTCCACTCGACTCGACTCGCGTCGAAAGGTAAGGTATGTTAGGGCAGCATATTTTTAGGGCAGCATATTTACCTGAGAACTCATAGTATCCATGTGTTGAAGTGTGTAACTATCTGAGTGTGGTTATTTGGTGATATCAGACAGACTGTCCATCCGCTCCTAAATGATTGCATGTGTTCCTACATACGGGTATTCTTGAGTGTGTGAGCATGGGTGTGTATGCATGTGGAGGTCATCCGTCATTCTTCTGAATGGGATTTGCGCACAATAAACCTGTAGCCGCGCCCGGCAATGGAGATGGAGTGCACTGTCAGCGGGCTGGATTTATGGGGGCCGATTCAGCTGATGGGTGCTGGGAAAGCCGTCTGATGAAGGGTGATTAATCGGTCTTACGTCCCCCTTTACATCCTGCTTTACTCCCTCCCCAAACTAGATTAAATGCACTCATAATTATTCCAGAAGAAATCCCACGCACTTTCACTTACAGGTGGGGATTTTTCATTTTTCATATGGTGGAGGGGAGAGACAGGGATGAGAGATATACTGTACTGCATGTGTCCGGGTGAATGAGTGTAATAAGAAGAAGGGATGTACAAAAAGAATAATACAGGCATGGATGAGTTTTCCTATTTTCTGTTGTGTAGTTGTCCTAGTTTTCCATCCTTTATCCCTCCATTCCTCCTCCTGGGGAAAGGGTGGCATATGGTTGGCACACTTTTATTGATGCTTTTAAAAAGGACTAGTTAGTTGCCTTGAATATTGCCATGGAAAAATACAGCTGCACAGAAACTGTTTATACCTGAAATCATAATTGTTTGGACATTTTACCAAAAATAATACTGATAAAAAGAAGGAAGCATTCTCTACCTGTATGACGATTGTGTTTTGCTGTTTGGTCTTATATTTTTGGGGAAATCTTGTAACTTTTAACAGTTAAAATAATTACTGAAACCCCCTGCCTCCCCACACAGAAAACAGGAGAGTTAGCTTTCTCAGCATTTTACCAGTTCAAAACATCAATGCTGACAATTAATGACAAATGCAAATATAAGTAACATGGGTATGAAGAATATTTTGAAACTATTTCAAACGTATTTTATAATTGTGTTATTTTCAGACACTTTAGCGCTCTTGAAATGTTGAAGGTGTATTTGTAAAATGTTTTAAAGCTAGCATGACTGAGTGATTATTAATAACTTATCTTGAAAGGAAAGAAGGAAAAAATGATTTGCCAAGTATTAAACTTGAATGCACCTTATAGACATGTAATCTTAATGTGTGACTATACATGTATTTGTATTCCAACACACACACACACACACACACACACACACACACACACACACACACACACACACACACACACACACACACACACACACACACACACACACACACACACACACACACACACACACACACACACACACACACACACACACACACACACACACACATACACCCACACACACACACACACACACCAATGAATGGGGCAGTGGAGCGTGGAGCAGTGTGATGGAGGGTTTGGAGGTCGTCTGAGGTGGCTGTTTGGTTGGCGGGATATATGGTGGGATGGAGGGACGGAGGCAGAGAAGCAGGGAGAGAGGGAAGGAGAAATAAAAGAGATGGATGGCCTCTCTTTGTCGCGCTGGTTATTTAGAGGAGTGCTATAAACCTGTCTGGGAACGAACAGTTTTCAGACTAATGAGCAAAAAGTCGAGCAGTTACAGCGAGCGGACAGTCTCAGCACTTCTACCAAATGAAACCAAGCTGCCACTTCAAACTGTGCACACACACACACACACAACACACACGCACACACACACACACACACACACACACACACACACACACACACACACACACACACACACACACACACACACACACACACACACACACACACACACAACACACACACACACACACACACACACAACACCACACACACACACACACACACACACACACACACACACACACACACACACACACACACACACACACACACAGCAATACATAGGGAAGAAAATAACTAATACAAATGAAGGGGAGGGTATAAAATCCGAGCAGTAGAAGGATTCTATAGTACAATACTGTTTTGTTTTGCAATGCATTCTTCTTTTCAGAACTGTGTGATTCTTTACCTGCATAGAACTCAGGACCGTACATCGCTCCGACCACTGGATTCAGCTTCCAGCCTGCAGGAGACACACAATGTTAGAAAACTGTACATGCCTGTGTTCATACACAAACCTTCAGATTGACTATACTATTATATTTTCCCTTTTAGGAAGGAATTATAGCCTTTACTTGAGTATTTGTCCATCCAACAGGGCATTGCATTGTGAGTTTCTTAATCTGTTTCTTTTGTTTCACTTATTGTTAACAATTCACAAACATGTACCCTTTGAGGAGCTTGAATAGCCCATGATGGATAGATGCTATCTCTTCAAAAATGTTGCATCAAAATGCTGCATTTCAAGATACAATTTTGCATAACTATTGCCTGATGGAAGTTTTATGATTGCTGTTACTATTAAATATTTAACACTTAGGAATAGTATCAACTGTTGGGTACACCAGTGTACAATTTGTAAGGTTTTAATAAAATGAAAGTCACATAGAGACACAACATGTCACAAGACAGATGTGGGTGTCTCTGATGATTGGCTAGTCTGTCATGCATTTAATAATGCAGCACTTTTGTTAAACCTTGACTGTAACTGGATACAAAGGATAATGTTTATATACTTTCAAAAGCTCTGACCATAGTTCTATTTTTAATTCTCAATACGTTTATCTAACGGAGCATTTCATCATATATTGCTAGTTATATCTTGTTATAAGTATAATACATTAGTGTCTTCCTTTAGTGGTTAAAGGCATGTACTGGGGAAGTGACAACCAAAGCACCATTTTAGCAATGGCAAAGAATAACAAAAGATGGCAGAGTGAATCTTAAGATATGGTGTCATCTTGTTTAAAAATCTGGAAGCAACTGGGGTCTTTTATTCTTTTTCTTGTTTGTCCCGCTGTGGTTATCATTATTTGACCTTACATGTCATTCAAATGTGCCTCTTTTTTATTACTTGTTGTAAGTAAACAAGTAAAAACTGTACTTGCAAACTGTTGCCAAACCAATTTTTGGTTTGGCAACAGTTTGCTCAAACACTGCTAAAGCCAATAAAGCAGATTGACTAGAACTGAGAAACAGAGAGAAGAACTGGGAGGAAATATGCTTGTGTTTGTGTTCGATTTTTTTGCGTGTATTCTTACTTTGGGCCTAATGAAAGTGACGAATGAAAAACCCTTTGGGGCCCATTCTCCCTTTCTCTGCATCCTCAAACAAGATGGAAGTGTCCGTCCATCTCTCTCTCTCTGTGTGTGTGTGTGTGTGTGTGTGTGTGTGTGTGTGTGTGTGTGTGTGTGTGTGTGTGTGTGTGTGGAGCTGCTGACATGTCTGGCCATTTAATTAATTCCTGTGTTGGTCCAGCCCCTCTTCTTTTTTGCTTCTCTTGCTCTTCAACATCTATTACGTGTATCCCTCTCCCCACTCCACTCTTTCATTCCATCCACATGAATGACGCTCCGTGAGAGAGCTGGAGGAGAGAAACTCTAAAGAGCCTTCTCTTTCCGAATCCTGGCTCTTTTTTATTGGCTCTATTCCCTGTATTTCCTATTCCTTATTATCCCTGCCGAGTAGGAAAATATTTCACTCTGCTATTTGCGTGATATTTCAAACCAAATCGACTACCTCTCTGACAAATATTGATGCCATGAATCAAACGTGTGATAACTCTGTGTGTATGAAGGCAGAATGAGCAATCTATCTTCCATTTGCAGCTTTTTGTTTCCTGGCTCAATGGGTAGCATTTGATCATAATGATTTACTTCTTTCATACAACCATCAAATCTGTTGCTCTGTAATGTAGCCAGGTCCGACACTGGCAGTGGAATACAATGATGGAGAAAACAAACGACAGAGTGAAGAAAATAAAGGGAAACTACGAGTAAGAGAAGAAGCCATAAAAGTGGGAGAAATAAAAGGAAAGAGACAATTAAAATAAACCTGGAGGAATTGAAAAATGTCTTACCGTTTGTATAAGGGTTTGCCACTTTTTTGTTGGTCATTACCCTGGCTGTGGCATTGTTGACCTGTCAGCACACAGACAGCAGTTAGAGTGAGAGCACACACACACACACACACACACACACACACACACACACACACACACACACACACACACACACACACACACACACACACACACACACACACACGTCCCTATGCCGTGATTGTGTTAACAGATTGGTGTCCCCAAATAGTGATAAATACCAACTCACACACACACACACTGCACACACGGTCACACACAGAAGACATCAACTGTGCACACATTGTTGATATTCCACGATAATCCACACAACTTGTCATGCCATGCTTCTTTTGTGATCATTTCAGCAAGTAATGCTACATGCAGTGTGATGTTGTGAATACCCCTTTCAACAACATCATACAAAATAAATAAGACAACCATTGAAGTATGAATGCACAAAGACATTGCAGTTTGTAAAACCCTGAAAAGTTCCACAAGATTTACATTTTTATGTTTGTAATTGCCACAAAATAACTGAGGTTAATGTGCAAGGCCACAAAACAGTGAGGACTACAACAGTTTACAGTGTGATGTTTTATGTACAGCCACTGTTGTGTAGTTTAATATGTCATGTACCTCGGTGCTGGCTAATTAAGATAGCAAACAGGCCATATTAAACATTACACACACAGCTAGGGCATCGTTTATTTTGCTAATCATTTCCCAATAGAGGTTTACACCTGACCCCCTTGCAGGTTGAGCTGCAAGGAGTTTGGATATCATAGGTTACGTTGTACATTTTGCTCCATTAACATAGGGGAACACAATGATAATCACATTGTTTTCGCAGTTACTAAATGTCATGTCAGGATTTGTAATGTTTCCAACAGTACTGCTCTTACAATATAATATCCGTTCATTGCACAGGATAAAATAGTCAATAACTGTTTGAATTACATTTTTAAGAGGCTAGGACGCTGCATGTGGGCTAATGAATGTTAATAATTGTATAAAGTGATAAAATATAACATATTTGTATCTATACAAAGCTATAAGGTTCCTAGATGATACGTTACAATGGAAAACATAAAACAGACCCAACGAGAGGATGGTGACATCAACATGGAACTCTAAATGGACTTTAATAAAACAATAAAACGTCTTGGTAACCTTAGTAAAGTGTAAGACTCACTGGCAGATCACTGATTGCCATTTTGAAAGAGTTTATGTTCTGACTCAAATCAAAACCCTTTGTGATCTCATGCACATGCCACAGCGACAAACACAAATCCATCATGAGCAAAGTAGAATTCACCATTTGAGTAAAAGAAAATAACACCGCAACACACTCACACACACTGAATAGGTCTGTCTTTCTCTTTGTCACACGCACTTACGGATCAGGGTTCAGCATGCAGCGTTCAAGGTGCAGCAGGCAGGAGAGAGGAGAGAAAGGAGCGGAGGAAGAGAGGGAAAAGAGGGGGAATTGCAGGAAACGTCAGGCAGGCAGAGAAAGGAAAGAAAGAGTCTGGGGAGGAGTTAAAAAAGAAAAGGGGGGGGGGGAGAGGTAAGAAGTGACAGGAAAAGGAAGGCACCTCTATTTTGCGTCCCTCTACGATTGTACCATTTAGTTTCTCCCGCGCACGGTCAGCATCTGCACTCGTTTCAAATGTTACAAACCCAAAGCCCTGCAGTGGCCAGGAGGTGGGGTTGGAAATCAAGCGACAAAAGGAAGCGGAGTCCAGAAATGAAAAGATATAACAAATGGGGAAAAGAAGAGAGGAGAAAAGAGACACAAAGCACAGATGAGAGAGCTGCAGGTCAGGAAGGAGCTACAGATCCAGAAGCAGAGGCCAGAGACGTCAGGCTGGTTAGACATGAGAAATAAAGCTGGAGTTACAGTCAGGGGGGTTTGGTTAACAGGACATCAAACCACAGATAGCAGTCCTCATCATACATACATATTATTTCCTGTTGTAGGATAAAAAGGGTTAGGGTTAAGCTGCTTTCACATGAAACACAATTAGGTCTTTGCTCCCTGCAAGGTTGGGCGCAAAGTCCAGCTGTGAAAACACCTAGTTACATTTCGTTTTGTTACCTCTGGGTACATTTCAAGCGCTGCAAGACGCCAGTTAATGCTTTGGTTTAATCTGTTTGCACCGCCCTCTCCATGGCAACGTCAGCACAGAGCCGTTTCAGTGCTTGTCACATGAAGGCAGCTGTAGGGTAAACCTGCATTCACATGATACGTCATTTGCTCTTTGCTTACCACAATGTTTGGGTGCAGAGTCACAAGGTCAAACAGCTAGTTATGTTCCTTTTCTAGAGTTACCTCTGTGCTAGCTTGTGCCGCTACATACACCTGTCACTTGATTGGTTGCATGTTGAAAGGTCAGGGCAATCAAGTTCAAAGTGAGTGCACTGCTATGCGACAATTTCAAGCACGTAGGGAACCTCTACACAAACACCTTAAAGTGGACCTATCATGCAAAATGCACTTTTGTACGTCTTTTATACATGAATATGTGTCCCCGGTGTTCCAGAAAACACAACCCTCTCTCTTTTCCTCCGTACCCAAATGTTTTAAAAACGGGGCTACAACGAGCGGATACAGACTGATACAGATTCCATCCGACCAGACGTCAGCCCGGAATAGTGGGCGGCGACGCTCCGCCTACATGGGCAACGCTCCACCTATAAGGGGAATGAGAGGTTGCCGTGGCATGGTAACAGCATGGTAACAGCATGGTAACAGCATGGTAACAGCATGGTAACATGACGTTCGTGCCACGCCCCCCTGCAAAGGAGGTCAGCTGCAGCTCATGCAAAGACAGGGCTAAAAAAGAGCAAATAGAGTGAAATGAAGCATGGCTAAAATGCATGATCTGTTTGGTATTTTGAAAAAAAAACTTTGCAGACATGTTTTATAGGTATGGCCCTACAATATGTGTTTCAAATATAGCATGATAGGAACACTTTAACTTAGCTAATATTTGATAGCTATTACAGTCTTAACAAGTTTATAATAATTAGTTTGAGGCAATCAGAGAGTAGAACTTTACTTCTTCAGAAGACTGAAGTCGTACTGATTTAACAATGTTTGTTTTTTTTAACACTTGTTTGCATTGGTTGACATTAGGAGGATGACTATGTTCCTCATCCCATTTTTGTCCAAGATATTCAACGCGATCACACTATCTTGACTCCTGACTTCAGTCATTTCCCAACTGTAGGATGTCTCACTGTGTGCATACCTGGGAGGAGCCCCTTGCTTAACTCTGACACCCTTATTTATGCAATTTTCTAGGGCATATGAATCTTGGTTTGCTCACAGTATTTTCTTTTAACATTAGATGCAACACTGAACGCATTTTGATTACATTCTACTACATTATATTACATCTTATTACATAAGAATGTCCCATGACACTGTTCCTTCTAGCATTCCAGACTCTGCTGCACATGCATTTACAGAACAATCTGAACCTAATTGAATCAGCAGATGGAAGTCTCCACACACAATGGAGTGTGAGATGTGTGTGTGCGCGGCTGTGTTTGCTGTAGGGTGCACTTGGCCCTGTGGAAAAGCAGATAAGTGCCATACAATCACACTCTCCACGGCATCATTCAGCCGTGAATCTTTGGCTCTGAGCCCCAGGACGCAGCTCGCTCATGAGGCCCTGTCTGTGTCTCAGACTGGGCCTGGAGATGCAGCTCACTCAAAAAGCCCATACGAGTTAAAACATGCCTCCAAACTCTAAAGCGCAAAGCCTCATCTATCTTGTCAATGAGCCTAAAGCAGGCAGAGAGTGAGAGCTGAAGAATCATCTCTGCTATCATGAATGACTGCCTCTGAGAAGGGATTTATGTTAAATGTTTCATTCTCCCTGATTAGTGGTATTGAACTTTAACTGCAGCCTCAATTCGAAATTCTTACTTAATGAACTTGTAAAGAGACATACGCACCAGTTTAATCACACTTAGTGATATGGACAAGTAGAAAGATTGCACTTTATTCTTACAGCAAATACATCTGCAATGACTGTCAGAATATTTTGAATTGCCTTAAAAAAAGATTTGGATCTTTTGTGATTTGTAACCGCAATGTTTAACATACAGAAAAACTGTTTATTACAACTTGGGTTGTATTTTTGAAACTCCAGCTATTGGCTGTATCAGTTACTTTGACAATGTATAGGTGTAATGCTGAGATGTCAGGACACAGCAAAACATTTTCAAAAACGTGAGGAGGGGTTCAAGAAACAAAAGCGGTTGACTAGAAAAATGACTACAAAATGTTAAAACAATTACACAAGGGAGGAGATACTTTCTTTTATGCTACGAAACATTATTCGTGTGTCTTGCACGGTTTTTGTCAACTCTCCAACCACATTGGATTTTTTTTTTTTCAGAGACACTATAACTGCTCGAGCCGCTGTTGAGGCCAACAGGAAGTGCATCTCTTCTAACAGAAAGTGTATGGTTCCAAAAGACACAGAGGCCTTTATAGGATATTTGATGCCAGCATGTTCTCCGGTTCTCTGTGTTCCAAAAGACCTGGCTGGGTGTCAATCCCTGTGTGGTTGTGCTATAAAAGTTCCACTCACTCTCTCTTTCTTGCAAAGACTGACACTATAATATCCTTTGGAAAACGTAAGGAAGTGCATCAGATTTGTTCTTCAGCACTTGTTGATAGCGTTTTCTACATGAAGAATGCTTTAATATGTGTATTCAATGCACTCTTAATAATCATTGGAAACTGCATTAGGAAGCAACCAAGAAACTCAAAAAGATAAAAGTGTCCTGAGATTAATACAGGCCAAGCTTCTCACAAATGTGTCCTACCGCATAAACTCGTGTCCTCCGATTGATGAAGTTAATGGGAAGGACTTTAAAGTTCTGTCTTCTGAATCCAAATCTAGGTAATGGGGGTCGACATTTCACAGCTTCAGCCAGCTGTCAGTCCACCTTTAAGATGCCCCTTCTATAACTTCGATTCTGGTTCTAGTGTTTACAAATACAAACGGTAGCATTTCCAAAATCCTTGAGGAACCCTAGAAGACTTTGAAGAACTTGTTACCAGTGTAATGTTTGGTCCATTTTGTCTAAATATTTTTTGATTGAACCTTTATTCAACCAGGATAGGTCTCATTGAGATTAAACATCTCTTTAACAAAAGAGTCATGGAAATGTCCCAGCTATTCCCTTTTGACTTAAAAGGAAAGCTCTACCTTCAAGTGTGGTGCTGGCTCTCACTACTCCTTTGTCATTGATGAGTTATTGTGTGGAGGCAGCAAATTCACTCACTATTTTCACCTGATAATAAATATGGACAGCACCCAGCAACGTGATCTCTACTACATACACAGGATGCACTGCCTTCCTCTGTGCATTACTAACACATAGGTCTGCTCTTGAGAGGAGGAACTTATTACAGTATATATATATAAGCAAAATTAATCCTTCTGACATTTTGTAACCACATGTAGATATGTTCCCTCACTTAACCCTAATGCCTTCTAAGGCTTTCTTTTCTTTATCATAGGTAAACAATTAGTGTTCTATGGAATTGGACACAACTGATGCACTGAATGTAAACAAGATGTGTTAAGAGAGAAAGGACAGTGTAGTTGGAATGCTGTCTGGACAACAAGTCCTCCAACTCATACATTAATGCTGCCCATTATGGACACAAGCAATTTTCATCCATTTATTAATGATATGTTTTACATTTGATAACACCAGTGTACACAGTTTAATACTGGCACTTTCTAATTATGGGAAAAACGAAAACGTCTTTTAAAACTACAATTCCCAGTAGAGACGTGCCATAGAACATGTTGCGAAACACAATAGCCAGCATGTGTAGTTCTGGGGGGGGGGTTCGAGTCCAGTTTTGGATAGTCTGCCGTGGTTTCATTCCATTTCAAAGAGCTGTTTGGCGCTCGGCGTAACCTTGGTGCACTGCCACTCCAACATCCAATCACAGAGCTTGAGGACTAATCACTGGGTTTGTCAAGCAAAGCGGATGTTGTAGTCCCAAACGATAGTTGAGGATTATGGGTAGTGTAGTGTCTTCGGCCATCCTAAACTCCCAACTCCATTTGTTTCTCCGAATCGAAGGTTAAAAACACAAAAGCATTGTACACATTTTAAACCAATCAATGTTGTGTAATTAACAAGAATAACTTATGTTTTTTAGTGGATGAGTACGGCAGATATATCACTGTCCAATCATTTGACAGTGAGGGGAATACTTCCGGTTTTATTATGAAAACTTCGAGACCGGAAATACTATTTTCACCCTGTGAGGGTTGACGCCAACTTTACATGGACGCTGTGGGGAAAGACGTAGTATATTAACGTTCTCCTGACGAGACCTCAAATAATCTTCGTAATATTTATCAAAGAAAGTACAATATACACTTCTCGCTAGAAATCAAATCAAAAAGCATTTTAATGGCCAAACTATTCTATCAACGGGAGCATATGTCGCAAATTGTTGTTTCTTACACGACCACTAGAGGTGCTAAACTTTAAAACGGGACTATAGGTCGTAATAAGCTGCTGAACAATCGACCTATTTGGTCGTTTTTTGGACGGGCTGTATCTGAGCAGGCTGTATCTGGACTACTAAACTTAGTTGGTACGAAATATTGGTAACTAAACGCAATTGTTACGCTATCTTCTATCTTGGTAACTAAGCTTAGTTGGTATGCTATCTTGACAACAAAGCATTCAACATAATTACATTCCATTTTTTTACCCAGAGATGAGCAGAGAAAAGTACATTTTGTGGGTTTTTAGCCTTCTAGTCTTATGTTATATATTCATAGCACATTTGTATTTAACTCCATTGAAGTGGTGTCGGCTATGCTAACGGTTTATTTGAGCAGAATAACATTACTCAAATTCACAATGTGTTTAACTGACTGAACTAGTTTCTGTTCAATTATACATTTACACTATTTGACCATCAACATAGTCAAGCAACTGCATTGATGAAAAGTCTTTTTTTCTGATGTACTTGAAGCTCATTTCAAACAGGAAAAAGGGAAAGACAAGTTTTGCGAACACATCTGAGATTTCAGAACGATCGTCTGGACTTTAGTATCCTATGAACTGTATAACCATAACTACACATTGGTTCATTCATTTAGCATGTTATCAATTACATGAATGTTCTTTCATTTCATTCGTACAGTATATACAGTAGATGGGTAACAAATCAAAAGAAAGACATGTTCTAAAGTACTACAGTAGCTGTTTCAAACCAGTGTTTTATTCAATTTGGTTAAACCAATATAATGTATTAATTAGATGCAAAAATAAATCTCCTTATGGTGATTGATTCAAAATGAACTGCAACAATATCTCAGAAGATCAGAAGATGTCTGATCATGCAACCTACTGTAACTGACTCGTTAGTCTAACAATGCTGTTGTTGTGTTTTATTGTATTTGTATCATTGTAAGCACTCACAAGAAACCACAAGCTCCAAATTATGAATATAACAAAAAAACAAGAACATATAAAAACCTCATCAAACAGTTTGTACTGAGATTTAAACTGTTCTCCAGGAGAGGCATTGAGAAGTTAAAGAGGCATGTATTTTCAGACTGTGTGAATCCTAACGTCAGCGTTAAGATAAGTGGGATCCATTCGCTGCATGTTACGATGCATGGCAGGCCGCTAAGGTGTTATAGTTGCCTGCAGGCAGGTGTCACTGTTTGGGAGTTGTAATTACTTTTAGTAGCAGAAAGAGAAGTGAAGACAGTGAGAGGAGGACTGCGATAGAAGAGAAAGAGATAATCACAATCAGATGAAAAACCACGTGTGAGAGAGTGTGCTTGAATGTGTGGAAACGTACCTTGGAGCCTCGTTCGTTAAAAATAATCTCCACGTCCAAAATCTTGCCAAATTGCTGTGTAAAACAAGAAGGGAGAAGAAGGGGACGGGGAGGAACAGAAAAGGAGGGAATAGGAGGAAATAATTAGAACATGATGACCTTCGCTGTTAGAACAGAAAAAGGTCAAGCAGTCAACGCTCCGAATTAACAACTCCTCTTCACCCGACAATGAGATTAATAGAATATCCATTTACTCCTAATGCTGTTTAATGCTGTGTTTGCTCTGTTGTGGTAATAAAGTGCTGTGTGTGTACAGGAGACGAGGGCTATGCAGTGTTAATGAACATTACTGTGGTGTATTGCAGCGCGATGCCTCAGTACACATCTCAGATCTTAATGAGCTTTTCCTTTCCCCACTCTGGAAATGAGCAGAGCTGGAGTTTCTTCAGTGGAAGCAAGGGCCCTTTCAGTTAAAACAGGATATGGCTTCCATTTAGGGGGGAGGGGTTGGAAGTGAAGGAACAGCTCATCAAGGCTTATGCTTTGCCATACATTTGTTGATATGCTCCATACACTCTAATCATGCATTTGGTGCTTATAGTTTCTATTCTCATCTCTCTGTTATGGTCTTTATTGGCTCCATGCGTCATTTTAATTGGCTAATTACTGCATGGTGATGGTGCTAATGGCCACGCCTTTCCGCCCATTGATGTCGGTGGTGAATGTGTGCTTGTCATATTTGTGTTAATAAGGTGAAACACGATCTTATGGCTATTGACACTGCTTATGTGCAATATATGACTGGCTGCTACTTCACAATGTAAACATGTAACACCACTGCTGTGAAATAACACTGTGCAACATGTACTTTTTTACAATTACTACTGGCTGCAACTTAACTACTTTTATATATTTACTTACTTTAATAATGCTGCTACTTATTTCTTACCTTGGATGTCAACTCACACTATAGTTATACTCAGACTTTTTGAATCTTAATGAATTCATTATCCATGCATCTATATTATTAAATATGTAATACTTATGGTATACTGAAGTTGTATATGTTGTGCCTCTTCTGTGACATGTTTCCATGCTTTAATGGTGCTGCAGCTTCTCTTTTCACCCTCTGTCTAAAACCAGATCCCAGTCTGCTCTCATTGGTTAGCTGGTTAACTGCTTACAGATGTGTCAAAAATGGCCACCCCTTAGCCTATCACGTAGAATGTGTTTGAGCACTAATAAAAGAGTGAGTGTTACATAGTGATGTCACTTTGTTACTGAAGTAAACAAAGGAGTCTAATGGAGGTGTTTTAGCTTTTAGCGCATTGTAGCCTTTGCAGACCATTTACATGCACACAAACACATTACAGGAAAGGGAAAACCCCGACAAGTATAATTGGGCCCCTTTAACTGCAATGTCCTCTTTGCTGTAAAACTGTTACATTCTTCACTGTGGGACAAATACAAATGTTCTCACTCATACATTAAACATGGCAAACACTAAAGCATCTGCTGTGGGGGAAGTTCTCTTTTGAAGCCTTATCATGTGCTTGACTCTACAGTAGAGATATGGGAATACAAGTAAATAGGGTCAGACCTGTACAGCATATTAGGGTGATTTATTGGCCTCTTATCCCACATGGCCAGTCAGCGTGGTCTACGTGACACTATAAAGATAACTCTCTAACACAGCATTTTCTCTTTGGATCTTGTGTTGTTTTCTTCATATCAGATGTTAAACTAACTGTACGGTTTACATATCAAGTAGCCAAACATGGGGATGGACCCATTGATTTACAGTTTTTTACAGACAAAGCACAGTGCATTGGTAATAGAATAGGAAATGCATGTAAAGTATACGACAAATAAGTCAAGGCCATTTTATTTAGAAAGAAAATCTATCTAGTTTTTCCTTTCTGTTTCTAATCAAATCAATGAAGATTTATTTATATAGCACATTTATAAACGATTTTTGGTCGAGCCAAAGTGCTCTACATATAATAAAAATAGCCAGTAGAGACACTTTACAGCAAATACAACAGCACCGATTGTTCAGAATATCAGTATGAGAAAAACGACACCCTCTGTCCTTAGACCCTCTGTCCTCAGACCCTCTGTCCTTAGACCCTCTGTCCTCAGACCCTCTGTCCTTAGACCCTCTGTCCTTAGACCCTCTGTCCTTAGACCCTCACATCGTACAAGGAAAAACTTCCAGAGAAAAACCCACAGTTTAAAGGGAAAAATGGGAGAAACCTCAGGGAGAGCAACAGAGGAGGGATCCCTCTCCCAGGACGGACAGACGTGCAATAGATGCCGTGTGTAAATCGAAGAGATAATACATTTGACAGCATATAGACCGAATGTTAGGAAATGCATGTGTCTGTAATAAGAAGATGAATCCACGAGGATGTCAGCTACAATCCTGAGGAAGCCATCAGGGAAGCAGCATGACGAGACCCAAGGCACGACCGCAGAGACAGGTTCAGCCACGACCCGAACGTCCAAGTTTCTAAATAAAGACCCACACAGACACCGAGATCTGCTTCTGTATTAACGACAATAACGCTAAGAATTAGATTCATTTTTCTGGCTTCAGACTAAATAAATATCAGTATCAAAAGCCGAGATGATTGGACGCTCAGGTGGAGCTTTGGATGAACTCATGTCTGTGTGAAGCTGCACTAACCTTGCATGCAGTATGGTAATGCTCAGCCTTGTGCTTCCCATAACTAGACCTTGAATCAAGTTGTTTATTTCAATAAATAAATAAACATGGAGCAGGCAGCAGAGCAAAGGCAAGGTCACAACACTAACCCTGAAGATGAAGTCCACAACAAAAACACGGATGTTGCATATACAGTACATACTGTATAGAACTACACATGCTGTAATTGCACTCTAATCAGAGTTAAAGAAAGTGGCCTCAAAAAGAAGTAACTTAATAAAGACTGATGGTTTTATATCAATGAAAATGTCAAAATGAGGTGAAGAATATATGGAAATTAGAATGAATACATGATTTAATAGCTTGTGTCTTTGTTTATGTGGCTAGTATCGGAGTTGAGGGATGTAGAGGGCACCACTCAGAGTTACTTTGTGTGTGTGTGTGGGGGGTATGTGTGTCTGTGTTTGTGTCACAAGAGAAAGACAAAGTGGACAGGGCTTCACCCTAGAGGTTTCTCAATACTCTGCCGGACTTATCTCAGCCAATGACAGCTCTGCATGCATCCCCAGCATATTATTTTAGTAACTGCTTTCATCGCGACACAATGTTTACAGTGAGAACAGCTGTGAGGTCCGTGCAGAAAGCAGAGCAGTGTGTATAATATATATCCCTCAGTATAATAGGCCTACATTACTTTCTGTATTTGTATGCTGTAGTTTAGTATCGTATTGTCATACTGATATTCTGTACAAACTGTGAAGTCCACTGAGACAAATGTAACATTTGTGATATTGGGCTATATAAATAAACATTGATTGATTGATAGTAGATATCTACAAACAAAGAGTCGATATTTTTCTAAGACCATTTAGTGCTTCACATAATAAAATACACAACGGCTGTAGCCTGATTATGCTTTAGGAGCTGTAGGTGTGTGTGGTACAGTGCGTAGGTGTGTGTGTTGTACAGTGCGTAGATGCGACAGACGGGCCTCAGTTGGTTTGGTGTCCTATGCTTACTTTCAATACTTGTAAATACAACTTTTGGTCCGTAATTTCAATTCCCCATTTCAGCGACCAGAGAGAGGGGGGGGGATCCAGTCTCTGATTGTGTTACGTTATTATGAGAGTGCTCTCATACTTGTTTGATTCTGAAATTGTATATATTTATATATATGTGTGTATTTGTCCGCATCTGTAGCCTGTTGTTGTCTCATTATACCGCACTGTCAATGAATTCAAAGTAAATATATAAGTGGTCATGAACACATCTGTCATCAGACAGAGGGCTGCTGTGCCTCCTGTCATCATTAATGGACGTCTCTTTAAAATGACCGCTCAGAGGAGAGGAGTTCTCATTTCTCTAACCGCCTGCTGCTTCCACTCTCCTCGGTTCCCCTCCTCTCTCCTCGGTTCCCCTCCTCTCTCCTCGGTTCCCCTCCTCAGTCCTCCGCTCGCATCTCCTGCGGGCGGGACTAAGTCTCGAGGATAGGAGTCGAGGATAGGAGTCAATGAGGGGAAATTAGAGTATTGAGAAACCTCTAATGTGAAAAAGGGTTGTGAACTACACACACTCCATTTTAAATAGAACTTTTTGGAAAAAACAAGTCGAAAGGCTTTAACATATCAGTCAAAGTTAATGAAAATGAAAAATATGTCAAGAATCACACTGGCTTTTTTTATTTTTTTATTACCATGTGCCAAAACAAGTATATATGGTATTGCATGATATATTTTTGGATAATAAATATGCAGTATATTTGACTAACCCTAACCCTTCTAAACTTTTTAATTTAGCAAATTGTGTATGAACATACTTTAGTCATGTTCCATTAAACTGACAGCTCAGTGGATCTGTAGAGAGGACTTTCATTTTCTTCTGAAAGAGAGTTTTATGAAATGTCACGAGTTTAGTCCTCATAGGAGGACTACCAGCTGTTTTATGCGTGTATAAAATACCTTTTTGTTCACAATATCCACATTTTAAATAAAAGATTTCATGTACCATCAATTGAATTTCTAAAATTGTATTTACATTAGGCATCATTGCACTAGTATTGAAAGTCGTTCAACTTTTATTTTCCTTTTTTTATTTTAAAGGACTGCATAATCTTTTAACTAATTGTATTCCTCTGATGGATTCGTTAAAAATAATTCAAACGAAACAAGAATGTTTCTAGTGTGACCATAAAGGCACCTGTGTCTGTGCATGTGTGTGTGTGTGTGAGTGTGTGTGTGGGGGGGGGAATGCATTCAATCAGTGGGTGTGTCCTTCAGATCAGATCATTAAGAATGTGGGCAAATGAAAGTGCTCCTCCACTCAGCCTAATGAGTGGGATGAAAGCTACCCTTAATTGTTGTCCACAATGGCTGCGTTATTTCATTAGAACAAATTACCCTGTCAGCCA